AGTGTGTGTGTGTGTGTGTGTGTGTGTGTGTGTGTGTGTGTGTGTGTAAATCCTGCCCCCATTACTGCTGTCTGTTCTGTGGACAATTAGCGGGCTCTGGGCCATATGGCCGGAAATCACTAAATTGGATTTCTTTTAAAGGGGACCATCCAAACCGTCCAGCAGTGATCAGCTCAGACGGTACTCACTGCCTAAAAGCTTTTGAGCCTTACATTGATGGAGCATCCGTAGGATGCTGCAACTGGGAACTGCTGATTGAATCTGTGTTTACCAAACCAATTTAACCTTTCAGCATGCAGGGCCAGTGACTCTTTTCCCTTTTCTCGGTTATTAATCACGGATTAGTTTTGTGTGGCGCTGTCCTGACAAAGATTCCCTGAGGGAACTGTACAAAATCTCCATAGCGCTGAAAGCAGAGAGTTCCTATGCCAAGAACAACCAGGCTGCAAATAGAAAACCAGGACAGTGAACAGAAAGCTGAAATGAACCAAAAGGGACAGATGTGAAAGCCAGGGTAGAGGAAGCCAAATCAAAGCCATCTGGTAGATGTATAAATGTGGCAGTAATTCCTGGGCATTAGTTGTATTACAATAGCAATTAGACCAGGATCCCATTGTGCTGGCTGCCGTATGTACACACAGTAAGAGATAGTCCCTGCCCCAGAGAGCTTACAGACTAAACAGCCAAGAGGTGGGAGGAGAAAGAGAAGCAAAATGACTTGCCCAAGGGCACAAAGCCCATCAGTGGCAGAACCAGGGTTAGAATCCAGCAGTCTTGGCTCCCAGGCCAGTGTCCTATATACTATGCCATGTTGCATCATATAGTCTATCCCTTGAGCTACACCCTGGGTTGGAACCTAAACCCAAGGATCAGATCCAGCTTTGCAGTTCAAACCTCTTTGTATGATTGGCTGAACCTGAATTTGGGAAAGTTCAGACTCACTGTTGAAGCCTGGGGTTTTGGTTCTACCTATGGCGGGGAGGGGATGGTCTGGATACAGAGTCCAGATCCTGGGGTTTAGTATGGGCTGAACTCTTCTAGTAAGACCATTGGTACCATAGCAGGTCCCTTAGAACCATGCAGTATGGGCCCCGGTCTGGATTTCTCTCTTTTAGGTATTTATCTGGGCCCCTATTACTGTAGTATTTGAGCACCTCCAAATTTTTACTGTGTACATCTTCCCAGCGCCCCTGTAAGGTAGGGAAGTGCTGTTAGCCCCATGTTACAGCTATAAAGGAGATGTGGGGAGACAACAAGGAAGGGATTCAAACTCCAAAGCAGTCCAGCACCAGAACCACTCAGCCACCTTGTCTGATAAAAAAAAGATGTGCCGGCCTCATCGGAATTTGAACCCAGATCAATGGGACCGATCCAGAGTGCTGATTGTTACACCATGTACTCAGCTGCTGGTTATGCTGAAATGCAGCTGCCGCCTGTTCTCATCGGTATAAAGGCTAGAGCTGTGTGAAACATGCTCAGTGAAACTTGCCAGCTTTCACCTTTCATTACAAACTCAAAGCAGATTTGTCAAAAGACCCCTGCAGGTTGGATAGTCTGGGCCTGACTTAATAATACTTAGCAATATAGCAATTTTCATGAGTAGATCTCAAAGAACCTTATAAAGGAGTTCAGTATCATTTTACAGATGGGGAAACAGAGGCACAGAGCCCAAGTGACATGTCCAAGGCCACCCAGCAGGCCAGTGGCAGAGTCAGGCATAGAACTACTAGTCCAGTTCTGTATTCATTAGTCCACATTGCATCTCTGACTTCTGGTTTTTCCTTTGGCGACAGGGGAAGGTGATAGTTTTGCATGATTTTTGGCACAAAAGCAGGTGAAACTTAGCAGCTGCAAGTGGATTTCACTGAGGTTTCTGAGTAGCAGCCGTGTTAGTCTGTATCCGCAAAAAGAAGAACAGGAGTACTTGTGGCACCTTAGAGACTAACAAATTTATTAGAGCATAAGCTTTCGTGGACTACAGCCCACTTCTATATGCATATAGAATGGAACATATATTGAGGAGATATATATACACACATACATAATTAATTGGCCTCTCAGAGTTG